AGGATTAGAAGCTCTCCTGGGATTTTTTTCCAAGCAGGTTGAACTCCTGGGCCTCTAGTTGTTGACCCCAGGTTCAAACATTCTCCACGCTTGCAATTTTCCTCACCAAAGCCAACAATCATTTGAAAACCTTTGCACGTCAACTCAATTTCCACTTACCATACCGTCGGCTCGTCCGCCATGCTCGTACAGCATAATGGAGCAGTCCGTCCATCCACACGAGAAACCAGCTTATACAGAATCCCAACAAGAGTCCCAGCATCAGATCAATTTCTTGCTTGGTGACGTTGTCAGTCACAAAATAGTTCTCGGAAGAATCAACCACCGACTGGTCTCCGTCGTATGGGATGACATAATGAATGTGATGCCTGTGTGGTAAAATTAGGAAGAGACAGATGGAGATGAGGAAAGAAGAGAGCATCAAGGTTGCAGGATCAAGAGAAACATTTGGTTTGCCATCCCTGGCAAATATCTTTCTGGGTAACGGCTATGTTTTTCCTAGCTCGTTATTCCCATAGCAACTCACTGTGGGAAACAAATATGGAAGCATAACAGCCTCTGCCAAACTGGGGATGGACACCATCATCAGAGACATCCACTTGGCTGAGGATCTCCTTAATCCAGGAGCAACCCCTGCTTTGACCTTGACATAGCTAAGGACTGAACCTTTGATTCAGATGATCATACTAATTAAGAGACCACATTACCCACTAAGAATCACAAGACTCTCTGGTCTGATGACTACTTGGCCATTGGTGTTCAAGGGGAGCGCCATAATTCCCTGGCCCATCGTTTGCTTTGCAATGCAGAACGTCCTGTGGTTGATCCAGAGCAGTGTCTTAACTCTTGCAGAGCTGTGGCCAGCCAGACATTTGCAAAATGATGACCCACCAGTTCTATTGAGAGGCAATTCCCATACATGAGCCAGTTACAGGCCAAAACATTCAGAGAGGCCAGAATGTCTAATACTGGCAACACTGGCAACTCAACCCAGGTCTAAAAAAAATGGCAACCATCAATAGGTCTTCGATGGAAGAGCTAAAACTTGATTTTGCATGCAGAACAGCCAACATTCATTTCTCTTTAGAATCTAGAGCCCAACTTCTATAAAAGGGTTGAGATGGAACGTCACTCCAAATGCTTCCCCTAGGGATCCTCCACCGCAATGAAGCTACCATCCTGTTTTCTGGACGTCAAACCCTGCCTGCTGCTGCTGTTTTTTTTTTTCTGCCAAAGATTGTCATCTGCAAAGATTGTCACCTGCAAAACAAGAGCCTTGTGAACACAACTAGCTCCAAGGTTCCGGACCTGGATCAGGGGCTGGAGAAGTGACCTTGATTGGTCCATCCCTGCCCCAAGACTTTGCAATTCTCTATAAAAAGCAACCGGAATGTCGATGAAAGTCTAATTTACATCTAAAACGTAGATTTCAGTCATTGGTTTGGTTTGCACCACATGTTTCAACCAAGCCAGCTATTAACCTGGTCAGGTTTTTCGCAGAGGTTCTGGAAAGCATATGTTGCATTAAATGGGTCCAACGTCATTTTTTTGAGAATGCAGTCTTCTGCTAATTTCTCCAGGAAGTACTTGGTATCCCATAAACCATTGCACCAGAAGACTCTTGGCAAGGCTTTGTTATATCATTGACTTCTTCCTATTGGTCACCCAGGCAGGAGTGACCACTGCAGCCAATCAGGGTTTAGGAGGGGGATTCTCGACTGCCTGACCTTGCCAGCGAGTTCTGAAACTGAGCATCTCGCCTTTTCAGCCTCTCTATATCTGCAACTCTCTGTGGTGGAGGACTGCCTGGGAGGAATTTGGAAACCACCCCATTTCTGCCTGGAATATGGTGTTTGCACAGCATGGCTGACCGGTAAGGATAGTTCAACCCAAACAAGCCCTGGGTCATTTGAGGTTAACACCAATCCTCTTCTGCCCCATAACTGACTTGAGTTACACTTGTTCATAGAATGTGCTTATTCCACCTTTGACCCAGCTAAGTGTTGGTGTGAACTGGGTTGTCAATTTAGGTCAAGAACTCTTCATCTGCTGAAGAAATAATGCAATTAATTTAATGGTGGATCGTGCAGGAAAAATCATATATGCTTTATGTGCATTTCACAGGCCCTTTCTCCCCTAATATTTTCTTTTGCCAGCAACCTCTAATCTTTGCATGCCTTTGCTCTAATAAATGGCTGGATACTCTGTTTTCTGGATTTAGGGGAACATTTCTGAAGTGGATTTCTGCAACAGCCTTAAAGCATTCCCCAGTCCGATACAGACCCAAGGGCTGCGTTTGCAATTCGAGCTACATTAACCGGGATTAATTTGGGGGGATCTGTGGAATTTCATGCATTGTGCATTTGATCTGTTTAGGATCTAGGCATCCAAAATGGGAAAATGGGTTACTTCATTAACCAAGTTAAGTGTCATACAAGCCAGGCCTTGGGAGTTTGTGAAACACTCATTCTTCACATTTCTTCTGTTTCTGTCCTTCAGAAATGTTGGGACTACAGTTTCAAAATTCCCATCCAGCTTGTGGACTGGGAATTGGGGCAAGTTGACCTTGTAGGTTTAGAAGATGCAAAGTTGCATTTGTTTAGAAGTTTGCATTAATATTTTACTCTGCAAGTAAGCCTGACCATGTCTTCTCATCTCTGCCACTCTGGTTTTTAAATATCTAATTTAGACAAGCCATTGCCTTGAGAATATCTCATGCTATCGATACAGACCTTATCTTTGCAAACAAAACAGGCCGATCCCCAATCCCTCATTCCTGGCAGAGCACCCCACATCCCAGTCCCAGTTTCCCTGAAAGGACAAACTGAATTTGACTTTATATCTTCACCCAGGAAGGCTGGAGTAAAAGGAGGCAAGAGAATTAAAGAAAACAAAACAGATTCTCGGGCCCTCTCAGCTCACAATCAAAATAACCCAAACTGACAATCTATGACAGAGAAAGGAAGAATGGGCTTGAATTCATTCGCTCGCTCTATAGCAGTATTTCTCAACCTTGGCAACTTTATGACAGGTGGACTTCAACTCCCAGAATTCCCCAGCCAGCATGGGGAATTCTGGGAGTTGAAGTCCA